AGGCTTGTTCACGCCGGGACGAATATCGCGCGCGATTATCGCCGACGTTCAACGCCTCGTGACTAAACAAAGGGCACCAATGTGAGTGTGCACACCGACGCGCAAAACGCGAGGCGTAAAAGCGTAATTAAAAAAAAAAATGCCTCTGGCTCGTTTTTTTGGTTCGACACACCGCGTTAAAAACTAGCCGACCAATGAGATTGGTGCTTTTGTTCACGTGCCTGGACCTGCTGAAGTTACAGTAAAACACGACTTGGTGGCGCTCAAGCACAAAACGGTCTTGCCGAGCACACATTGATACCTAACAACGAAGAGGAAGTAAGTAGACCAAGAAGATGCATCGAGGCAAGATGAATGTAGAGCTGCTGGTCTCATTGGTGTCTGAACACAAAGGGCTTTATGACAAACGCAACAGCGACTACAAAAATCTCGATAAGAGGGAGTTGTTATAGAGAGGAATTGCAGCTCAAATAGGATTCGATGTGTACCGGAGTATTTCTGTTTTTCATTAAGCGCCATCTAATGTCAGGGATCGTCGCCAGCGAAAATCGCTTGGGTATGAACACAACACAAAAGACGCGTTGAAAAACGTCGGCGATAAGCGTGCGCGATAATTGTCCCGATGTGTACGAGGCTTTATTGTTTAGTTAAAGGCACAATATGTAAGATTTTTTTATTAAAATATCCCAAAACCACTAGAACAGTGTTACATATTTTGCTGACTTGTGTACTTACATTATCCCAAATGTTTCGAAGAATGTTTAAAACCAGAGAAATAAGCAATTTAACTAGTGACACGGAGCATGTCCATAGTGTCGCCTGCTAATGCCGTCATGACCCCTCGATTTCCGGCTTTGTTTTGTAGAAAACATGGAAACACCAAAGACGCTAAAATATGTTGTGTGTTTTATTAGACAGGTGACGACCGGCACAGAGTAGCATTATAACAGAACGTTCAAATGTATCTAGTATGATAAAACAGCACTGCTTTACCCCACATACGCACGACCGGAAGGAGCGGAAGCGCTAAAGTGTGGCATAATAAAAGCTCTGCTGCTTTCGAGCACAGTTTTCAGTAAGAGGAACATTTAGAAAAGGCAGAAAAAAGGCCCAATCAGCAAAAACTAGTGAGAGGAAAAAGATGTAATTAGCTCTGATTCAACAGCAATGCAGCTCCATGGCAACAGGTATTTTATGCATAATTACAAGTGTCATACAATTAAGAACATCCACATCCATTCAGCACGAAAGAGAGTCTGCCGCTGAAGAAAACCACAAGTAATTATAGAAAAAAAAGTCGCCACAGTTAATTGCATTTTTAGCCGCTCAGCTAATTACCTGATGTATTTTTGATTCTGCCTACTGTATGAACAGTTTGGCCCACACCAAATGCACGCTTTTTGTTAACCTTGTAAAGCTTGCTATTTGAAATAATAGTCGGAATTATCTCATTTGAAATGGAACAATTTATTGAAGCTTTACACATAATATGGTGAAGCATATTTGATGCATCAGGCTTTTATGGCTTAGATGAGAATACGGAGTAGGATAAAAAGCCCGTTTTTATTCAGACCCAAACGGAGCAGAAATATGCAATTTGGTGCAGTTGCTGATATTAATATGGCCAAAAAGTATGAAATTCTCATCGCTTGTAATTTAAACAAGTGAGATCTTTATAACAGACTACTTGCATAAAATGCACATAAATATCAGTTCTAGTAAATAACTGATGTTTAGTAACAGTAAGATGATATTTAAATGTTTAGTTTCTGATCAGAGCTCTGTAGTTTTTATTGTGGGGGGCAAAACATATAATGCAGTTAAATAAAATAATTGAGAGATTTACAAATAAACATGATACATTTTAACGTTTTTTTCTAAAAAAAATTAATAAATGTATGGATAATCAAGTGAACCGAAGCTGATTCAGTCCAGTATGAGGTTATCTTGAAATATTACTAACAATATTTCAATATCAGTAATAATTTCACAGCAAAAAGACAAGGAGGATGTTTACAATAATACTAAAAAGGCTGTTTACTTGCTAAAAAGTATACACTATCAATCAGACGACTTGATCATGATCATTTCGAGCCCTTTGCGTATCAAATGTGATGATACAGTAGGGCTTTGTTTTTGAGTGAACTGATAGAGGCGCCGGTTGCTGTCATGTTTCAGGTATATACAGTGGTGGACGAGATGTTTCTGGCAGGAGAGATCAGAGAGACCAGCCAGACGAAGGTGCTCAAGCAGCTCCTCATGCTGCAGTCTTTGGAATAATGAGCCCGTCAATCAATCAACCACCATTGCTGCAGGCCCCGCCCATCTCCACAGGCTCCGCCCACCCCATGCTGCAGCCAAGCCATATTATCCGTATGGATGTTGTCTTGCTGAAATGCATCCACAAACATTTCACCTTTACATTTCATGTCCACGATGAAGGATGTTGCCATTCTGTTCAAATTGGTACGTTTATTAAACCTTCCCCGGTTATTGACCGAATTATTCATTGGCATAGCCAGAATTGAATACTTAAGCAATTTTATAGTACATTAGACTTCAGTGTCTCGGACTGGCAACCTTTCCAAGTCCGTTCATTAACACTAACACAGATAATAGCATCACGTTAGCCAAAATCTGCCATGGCATGGAAGCCATTGGTCCTGTAAATGCGAAATGCATGGGCTGCACTACTATATATAAAACTTGATTTATCCTCCCCAAACATGTCCAGCTCATTTAATGAAACATTCCAATCAAAAAGATTGTTTTGTATTGTGTACATATATACCAACATTATATATGCATCTATTTTAAATGTAAATGTTATGAACTAACCAGTCATTCCAGGCATCGAAACACTCAGTTTCTGCTTGTTGTAATTGCATTGAAGTCTGTTGGTTTTATGGAGAACTCGAGCCAGCGATTAGCGAGCGTTTTAGAGAACAAGTGGAAGAATGGAACTCGGGGGGGAAAATGACAAAAGATGGTCTACTTTTAATTTCCCCTTTTGTGGCGCCGGTTCCCTCGCGCCAAGAGCTCTATGGCAACTGCTCAGCCTTGAAACGTTCCATTGCAGTTCGATTCATGAGTTACTATGAGAATCTGTCTTTGTATGTTTTATATGCTTTTTTCATCTCGTCTGCCCTAGTCCAAAGTATTCTAGATCTGCCTATTTGTCCCTGTGAGATTGCAGAGTAAAAGTTGATGGAAGTCGTGTTACTCTCACGTGTGTGTTGCTGTCAGTGTATATATATCCATACAGGTGAAATAAAGAAAATTAAAACTATTTCATATAATGATATTGCGTTGAGCAGTTGAGAACAATGGAGTGTTCTGAGAATCGTTTTTTTTTTTTTTACATGTACTATCCTGCCATCTACCGGCGACTGACGATTATGCAAATATTTGACCAAGTAATTAGTTACCAGACTACAAAGGGAACGAGCCAATGTAAAACTGGCATTAAATGAATGCATGAATATGTGCCGATAATGTGATAAAATATAAGTGATCAAAGTTAAGGCGCATAGAAACAGCACAATTACGAGTGACTATTTAGTAGAGGGATATTTCTTGACGCGTGCAGCATGAGGCTTCAAACGGTTCAAATCGTGCATTTTGGGAATAAATTGTGGGAAAAGGGTTCCTGATTTGATTAACTTGATGTGAAGGCCTGTTATTTGCCATCTTTACATACAATCAATTCCTCTGACACCTGCAGGAGAGATTGTGAAGGATGGGAGCGAAGTGCACAGCGCGGAAAATGTTTAGTGTCGCAGCTTTAATTATGTACAGAAGGGGGAGGGGCTATCAGACTCCAATTATGAATGACAAAATAACCTTATATAATTATTGAGTTGAGTACATAGTGTATGAGTGCATAGTGCGTCATTTGGGACGCAGCTAGGGTTAGGGATTTTAAATTACTTGTGAATGTCACGTTTTATGCATCTGTTACCTAGAGATAATTGGATTCTAATTTGAATAAACAGCATTTGTTAAAGAACAAAAAGGTGAAATGGCAACTTGCTCACGGTCACACACTCCTGAGACCACAGAAAGACAACATTCACAGAACATAAAAAAACAAGCAAATTTTAATTATAACCTTAAACTTTAAAATGAACAAGCACCCAAACACTCCGATAAACAAATTAAATTTTATTTACAGCATAGATGATTCAGATATACAGTATTTATGAATGAACAAATCACACTGGTTACTAAGCAACAACTGGTTGTATTGCAGTACTTTGAACTACTCTTCAAATGCACTCCATATTGATATCTGGTTATGAAATGCTACCAAACTCCACTATAACAGCCATTGAATTTCATCTGGCTCAGGCGCGGTCACATTAGCGAATTTTCACGGGCAAAAAATATACAGTGTTGGCTGTCAATGGTGTCGCACAGCTCACTTCAGAGTCACTTTCAAACCACAGCAAAACTGTGTGACCCACTTGAAACAGGTGCGGAATCTGCGTGGGGAAATATCGCCATCATGCAAAATTCCAAATAAAGTGGATTCCTATTGAAATGACTGGATTTCGCCATAGACTGTATAAAAACATGGACGTAGTGTCCGTGACGTCACCCGTAGTTTTCCGAAGAACGTTTTTGAAGGCTAAAGTGGGCGGAGCCGGCCAAGGGCAAAATTAGCTATATAGACCGAAATAGTTTTTTGAACCAGGCTGTAAACATGTTTTTTTCTGCTGAAAAGTTGGCCATTTTAACATGGTGAGTCTATGGGATTGACTCCCTTTTGCAGCCAGCCTCTAGCGGCCAGTTGACGAATTACAGTTTAAATCACTTCCATGTTGGCTTCACAAGAGAGAGCGGGAGGTTGCCGCTTGGATTTCGCCCAAAAAACAAAACCCTGAACAGTAAATTTCGCCTGGCAAAAATTGTTAAAATCCAGTTATTTTAAAAGGAATCTGTGTAATAGGACTTCAGCATGAAGGCAAAAAGTTACACATGCAGATTTCACTCTTGTTCAAGTTTGGTCTCATAAAAACTGTTAGCCAATGCAGTGAATTTAAGAGTAAAAGCAGTCAGTTGTTCATTGTCAATAGTGTAGAAATACCTGGCTCCACTTTCAAGCCAAACAGCTTTCTGTTGGTCAACACGGCAAGACTACGCAAGCGAAATCGGTAACACTTTACAATAAGGATCATTAGTTAACAATTTGGTCTTGGCGGAATAGATCTGCTACGCTGCTGCAGAGCAAGTACCGAGACTTGTTACTGCCAATACATCCACAACATGCTGCTGTGAGCATGTAAGAAATATTGCTGCTGCAAATAAAACAAATAACCCCATAGCATACATGAATCACCTCGTAGCAGATCTATACAGGTGGAGCTGGGGAAGGTGGAGGGTTTCTGAAGTAAGCTGCAACTGCTTCGACAGCTCTAGTCATATATTTGAATGTTGAGCAGCGAGCTCATTGGCTACCGATACAGGAGAAAACCAATCAGCTGTGCCATGTGATAATGATGTCATTACGTCAGATTGAGTTAGACCTATCGGACTGCGCCATCTAGAGTTTCATGCCAGAACTCTCATTCATTGTTCGTTCATGTTCATTAAATGCACTGTATTTTCATTAACTAACATTAACAAAGATTAATAAATACTGTAATAAATGTATTGTTCATTGTTTGTTCATGTTAGTTAATACATTAACTAATGGAAACTTATTGTAAAGTGTTACCGCAAAATCTGTGTGGGAACTTTTTTGCCCTTACACAAAACTCCCCGTCACGCAGATTCCTATTAAAAAGGCTGGATTTCGCTCAGTAAAATTTTGCCAAGCAATGATAATTGTGATCGCCCTTCTTAACACCATGTAACATTTTTTTTTGATGGGAGCATACAAAGCAAAGGGAGCTGCAAATTTAAGGGAACAGTTTCAAACCCACTAATATCGGTACCAAAAGGAATATTCCAGGTCAAAGACGCTGAGCTCAATGGGCAACATCAGTGACATTCTGTTAATTAATCATAAAAAATAATGTAGAAAAAAAACCAACACTTGCCCCACAGACTTACACTGTAAAGGTGCGGTCACATTCAGGAAGTCGAAAATGGAGTCTTTTGGCCCGCAAAATTGTGTGAGCAAACAACTGTCAATTTTCCATTGTCAATAGTGTAGCCATCATGCAAAAGTCACACAAAAGTCACTTTCAAACCAAGCAGCCCTCTGTTGGTCATCATGGCAATTTCATGTGACTCATTTAAACATGAGCAAAATCTGCTTGGGGAAACTTTTCGCCCTTGCGAAAAACTCCCAATCGCACAAATTCCTATTGAAATTAAGTTAAATGTGCACTTTAAAACATAAAATAGAAAAAAAATACTGTGGAGGGGGTGGTCAAACTACACTTTTCGTTCCATTGACTTCCATTAAAGAAGATGTGGTCACATTAGCAAGTAGAAAGCACAGCTCATACAGAAAACACTTTTTAACCAATCAGCTTTCGGCTTGTCAATGTGGCAAATCCACATAACCAACTGGAACCAGTTGCGAAATCTGCCTGGAGAAATATTTCGCTCTAATGAAATTAACGATTTCGTGGATTCCTATTAAACTGACTGTTAAACTATTAAACGCAACTTAAGCATGCCAATGCGGGAGACAGAAAACGTAAGCTCATGTGAATTCCGCGGCGTTCAGAGTTCAAGTTTGATTGTTCTCTCTTTTAATTCAGCTAAGAGGTCACAAACTACTTTAAATCTGCATTGTAACAAAAGTGGAATAGATTGCATATTTTTTCATTGTAGATATATTTTGAATTACGTTTTTTGCAGATTGTGATCATATTACGAATGATACAATATCCATAGAAATTTTGCTTGCTCCAAGTTTAGAGACCACAGCTTATATTGCAACATCTATTTACCCTGGAATATTCCTTTGAGTCTAAATTTTGTTGGATAAAAATAGTTTAAATAAGCTAGACACAACATTTGGTAAAAGTGATCACAGTGGAGCAAAAACAACAAAAAAAAAGGAAGGAAATGTAACCGTATAAGTGCATTTTAAGAGCTCAGATGATTATGAGAGCATGAGGCAGCCTCTTGAATGATGTAGAACAATCATGTGGTTAGTTAGTTAAGGCTGTGCTTGAACTAGAAGAGATGTGGCGATTACCCACCCCACATTTACGACTAACGGCATGTTCTTGTCCACAGCTAAGGTGGCAAGAAGACTCCTTACTGCTGAAACGTTGTCGGACTAGTCTCAGTTGTTCTTTAGTAAGGAATGATCACTCCTCAAAACAATATTCTCTCATTTAATATAATTAAATTAATATAAATTTTACAATTCTATAGGTACAGTATATAAACAGTCAAAAAAAGTGCACTTGCAGAGGGAAAAAAAACAAACATCACATAGACAGCATTTAAAACAGATCAAAACAGGTCTGTCTGTGGTGCATAATGATGACGTCACTGAGGGAACGGGGCACTGCGCCACTCTCATTTCTAGATCTCCCAGTCGTGGGTAACCAGGGCAAACAAAGAACAAATCAACCCAAAATATGTGCGACTAAACACCACAGCTACAGTGTACGATGAATCATGTTGCAGTCTGATGGGTCTGAGCTGGTTGCTGCACGGAAATATTCTTCCATTCTAACAATATAACTTGTGGTGTACACTTTTTACGTGACTTCAACTCCATAACATCAGGGTTGAATCTCAAAA